ACAGACGTTACTCCAGGGCAAAGTCTTATGGTCATTTCTGAGAAGCCACAACCAAAAACAATCCTCATGTGCACTTAGCATGGCCTCTGCATACTGCTCCACAGAAAGTAAACTCATAGGTTCTTCTTGTTCCTGTTGTGATTATGCAATTCTCCAGTTTAGTAAATACAGCATCTGCCAATTGCACTGCATTAACACTCCCAGCTCAGCCCTCATCAAACCCAGAAGTTGGATAGAATTCCACACTGCTGGCAAGCTTGCAGCATTTCCTTGTACTGGATCGTAAATGCTCCCATCAAATTAACTTTGTTCCCTCTGCAGAGAGTCCTCAGGAGAGATTACATTAACCATGGCTGCCTTAAATTCCATTGGTATGCATTTTTCCTAGGAAGCATGAACCACACTGGAAATGCAAAATACCAGTGACCCCAGCTGTGCTCTCAGACTAACAGACTGCAGCCTTGGTAAGTTTTGAAACTGGGTATGCTACAGAGATTTCTTTTTTCCAGGGCTTTTAAGGTTACAAGCAGTAGGACTGTGCAGTAATTCACACAGTCCAATGAAACCATAATGACTTTTATAAAGAGCAGGGTCAAATTATGCTTTTATTTTTTTATTTATTTTAATATGATATTTTTAGCTCCTTTGTGGAGATAAACCAGTAGGATACAACAGAGCATGTGATAACTGTATTTGGTATACTTCAAAGCATAGCAACTTTCTGGGCATCACTGCATAGCAGTCCTGAAGGAAACACAAATTTCAGGTCCAAAGCTCTGTCTCCTGAGGTCTGTGCAGGTGTAGGGACCTGCAGCACTGCTCCACCAAAATTTGCCAAAAAGTCCTTAATGAAAAATACTAAGGTCTGTGACTATTCTCCTCAGGGAGTCTCTCATCACCTGACATTATGCATTTCTTCATCTACCTCCTTCATGGTCTCAAGAGTCTCTTCTTTGAAAGGAAACAGCCTTCCTGAACTACATTTTTTAGAGAAATCTGGTATTCAGTAAGGCAGTAGATGTCACAAGATTTTGCTCTAAATGGCCTGTATGTGTTGCTAATAAATTTTTGACCGGACAAAAAACTTTTTCAAATTATAAAGACCTTTTCTTCATCAACTACATTTGTTTACAGTGTAGAGAGATAGCTCTCCTGTCATTTATCATCAGCTCCAAGTTACATCTCAGACAAAACCTAATATGAGTCAACTATTTGCTGGGGTTTAGGAGCCTGCATGAGGATATAAACTCTGAACAGGAATATTCAGAGCCAAACAAAAACACTTTTTCCCAAGGGGTTTTTAAACTTTCAATGAACTATGAGTATTGATCTTACTCTAAATCTGTGGAAATGAGTTTCTATAAAACTGAATTTAAGACCTATGTCAACCTCATTTATAGTCTTAATTTATCCACTATTTACTAGCACTATTTCAAACCACTCTTTCAGAGGAAATGACAAAAACAAAAAGCACCAAAAAAGAGGAAGAAGCAGTATGAAAATTAACAAAAAAAAAAGATTATTACTTTAGACAGAAATATTAGTAAAATATATTTGACATGCAAATAGGATTTGCTGTCAAATAGTCCCTGTTTACATATCAACTACAGAAAAAAATATATACTTAAATGCTAACAGAAAAAATATACCTGATATACATATTTCTAATCTTGTATTTCTTTTGCTACTTCTAAGATAAAAGCCAAAGTTCCTGAAGTACTATGATGAAAGTTTGGTCTTAGTTATGGATTTTAAATTTTTTTAACAGAGTAAAACTCAGGCAATATACAAAATGTTACTATTTCAGCAGTAGATAAATGCAAAATAAACACTCCTTAATAGCAGTTTATCCTATACAAATAATTTTACCCCCACTCTGAATGCTGATGTCTGGAGACAGTAGAAGTCCAACGAATATAAATTATATCAGGATTCTGGAACATACTTTGACAGAGTAAAAATTACAGTAACAGCCTCCTAATTCTGACTGATGACATTTGCAAAAGAACTTTGCAGACACTTTCAAGACTGTGTGGCAGCACTTCAACAGTGAGCCCTCACTTACACAACTGGGAGCCTTAATTGTTTTGCGAGCTTTCAGGAGACTGTCTGTTTCACTTTGCTTAATTCATGTCATACTCAGTTTGGCTACTGTAAAACACACATACACACAAACATCGCTGTTTAAGGACCTCCGTCCTGGATTTTTAGCATTTTTGTCATCACAAGGAAAGTTCTGCGCGGGCCCAGGGGCAGAGGGATGGATAGACGGAGGGAGGGATAGATGGAGGGATGGACAGACGAAGGGAGGGATGGAGGGACAAACGGAAGGAGGGAGGGATGGAGGGATGGACAGACGGAGGGAGGGATGGAGAGAGGGATGGAGGGAGGGATGGACAGACGGATGCTGGAAGGGAGCCGGGCCGTGCGCGGGCGCCGCTGCGCCCTCTGGCGGGGCCAGCCCCGCTCCGGCCAGCGCAGCCTCGCACCCTGGCACCAAAGCCTGGGTTTAGAAACCCCCAGGGGCAGCCAGGTAAGTTCCGGCATGCCCAGAAAATTATTTCACTTGAATTGGTCCGACCTGATTTTCTGCGGTAAGATAATTCTAACGAGCTGGCAAAAAACGCCTCTGCATTTTTTTCCCCATCTCTGTTGAAATCAGAGCGTATCCCTTTGGTGGCATCCTCAGAAATCCTCCCCGGCTCCAGCTCTGCCAGCGCTTACTACGTTTCTATTTCTTGGTACTGCTTTTCCATTTATTTTCAAAAAGGTGTTTTGTTACTGAGCATTTGACAAAAAAGGTAAAAACAGCATTCCCTTAAGAATTTGAAGCTACCTCAAATATTTATTCTTTAATTCTTTAAAGGTTTTATCTGGGCTGATCCAAAGGGATACAGCAGGTGCTAAATAAAGTAAAACTTCAAAACATCACTTTTTTCATTTTGACTCACAAAACCTGAACTTGAATTTCTGGCTTTACATATTTTTCCTCTTCTCACTGATAAGACATGGTCCATCATTGCTTTTTTTTTCCTTTTTCCCAAACAGCTGCAGTATTACAAAGAAGCAAACAAACAAGGAAATAAAACTCTGATTTTGAAAATTACATTTAATTATTACTGTCATAATATAGATTTTTAAGTCAAGAACTACGGAAAAGATGCCAAAGTTATAAAAATCTAGATGTCAAAACTGACTTCAGATGGCCCATCTTGCTACTTGAAGAAAACAACTACTTGCTATATTTTCTTCAGAATGTATTGAATACCAAAATAATATTTGCTGATTATAACCTCCTTCCTACTTCATATCACATTCAGGAAGACACAAAACATTATTAAGCAATTTATGAATAAATAATCCACTGGTAAACCTCCTATTTAGCATCTCCTGGTACAGACATTGATGACTACTATAACCTAATAGCCTAAATCAGGGATGTGCGGTGTTTTTTTGCCCACTGACAAATTTTACTTCATTTAGTCAGCACTAACATCTTATTGTCTGGATACATTGGCTGGAAGATAATAAACTTTGTGAGTACAGTCCACTACCACACAAGATTGCAATTCTCTTTTTCTAATATCACCACTACACATTTTTTTTTTCCCCTTATAACTAACATTAACAAATACCAACATTTGTTGCCTACAGCCCTGAGTGTAGCAACATGGGGTTTGCAGCAGTACATGAAAACTCTCCCCCTGGATTTTCCCTTTGGCCCCAAGTGACATGTGAGCCCCGGCAACCTGCTGAGCTACCCCGTCGTTTAGCAATTCCAAAAGCCAGTGGTAGGCCCCTGCCCGGGAAACTCCCGCTCTGTCTAGCGCATAATCTCACTGGACATTAAAAAACAAAAACTACCCAGTCCCTGTTGTTCGGGTCAGTTACACAGCGACCACAAAACTTTTCACACTTGTATCAAACCTTTAAGGAAAGGAAAAAGGGGCAGTTCTGTTGCAGCAGGGAAGGCAGTGGGCGTGTTCCATCTGATAACAATCTAGCTGGTATTTCGAATACACAGTTTTTGAAAATACCTGTAAGCCAGAATCTGCTGCAGAAAGGTCCCCCGACACACAAACCCCACGACTTTTCTCACTATCCGCAAATGTGCCAAGATTTCCTTTAGCAGCTTTCCCCTCCACAGCACAGGAATGCAGGATACAGAAGGCTTTAGCGATCAAAAGGGAACCCCATGCTGTGGGAAACAGTGGCCCAAGAGAAAGCACTACAGGTGCCGTGTGTCACGCATTAACAGGTGTCTCCGAGAAGGACTGACAAGAGCACCCTGATACTTCACAAGCAAACTTAGGCAACAGAGCCTCTTGCTCCGAACGAACAGGTCCCACGGCCCCTGGGGCTTCTTCCTTTATCTTTCTCCTTCTCTCAACGCCCAGTTTCCAGGGAAGGCTGCAAGCTACTGACTTCCGCGGGGGAGGAGAGTGCCCGCTAGCTCTCCCAGGCAGGATCTGCAGGGAAACTTTGCCATCCCTCCACGGCTCGCTGCCGGGAGAGCAGGGGGCCCCGGCGGGGAGGGGGAGGCTGTCGGGGCGCCTCTCCCGGGGACTCCGGGGCTCCGTCCCTCCCTTCCCGGCTCTCGTGCATGGCTGGGAAGGAGGCTCCGGGGACCCCGCGAAGGGGAGCAACACCGGCGCCCAGTGATCGCGGGGCAAATTCACTAAAGGAGGAAAGTCCCGAGTTCTCATTAAAATAAGAAATGAAGTCATAGAGAGCTCTTTCCGGAGAAGCCCGGGTAGGGAAGGATGAGAAGCCGGGACCCCGGGCCTCTCCCGGGAGGAGGGGGGAGCCAGCCCCGAGCGGCGTTTGCCCTCTCCGGGTACGCGGCCCGTGGAGCGGCCGGCAGAGCCCACACCGCGGGGGCTGCGGAGGCGGCCCGGCCCCAGACCCGACCCCGACCCCGGCCCCGGTCCCGCCGCGCTGCCCCGGGCTCCGCGGAGAACCCGGGCCGGCCCCGCCCGGCAGGTACCGGCCTCGCTTACCGCGGCTCTGCCTCGGCGTCTCCCCGCCGGCGAGCTGGCAGCGCTCGCTCAGGCACTGGAAAAGTAATAGAAATCCAGCGGCTAGTTTGCTTCTCCGCAGCCTCGCCATAGCACGGAGCCTGCCGAGACAACTCTCCGGGTGCGGGGTGCTCGCCGCTCCTCGTCGGTGCTGGGGAAGTCCGGGGGGGGCGGAGAGCAGCGCTAGCAGGCGCCGAGCAGCCCTGTGCTCGGAGCAGCGCTCATACACTGGGGCGGCACGGACGAGCCGCTGGGGCTGAAGGCGCTGGACCGGGTCTGGGGGGCGCTGGAAGGAGGTGGAGGGAGCTCCGTCCCCCTAACTCGCGCGGCCGCGCCGCTCTCAGTCCAGCGGCATCACCGCTAGGGAAAACAAGCCCAGCCTCGCTGCGAAGTGCCAAACTCTTCCCTCCTCGCAGCCTGCTGATAGATTTTAGGAGAGCCACTGAGATCCTCCCTTTCTGGCTTGCCCCCACCCAGCTCCCTTCCCCCGCAGGGTGAGGCAGGGTGCCCGAGGGACGGAGCCTCTCCTCGGTGTACCGCTACCGACTAAACCGCTCCGAGGGAAACGAGCGGGCAAACGTTCCAGCCGGAGCCAGCGGAGCGGCCCCCGAGCACGGGGAGAGCCGGACCCGGAGGGCGGGCAGATGCGCCGCGGGAGAGGATGCGCGGGCGGCGGGGAGGCAGGCGGGGACGGACGAACAAGTTCTCTCTCTCTCTCTCTCTCTCTTTCGGGGAGGTTTCCTCGGTCGGCGGCGCTGGTGCGGGGCCGAGGGCAGCGGCGCGGGGCGGGCGCTCCCCCGGCCCGCAGCTCACCCGCGCAAGAGCGGGCAGGGCAGGGCAGGGCAGAGCAGGGCAGGGGGCTCGCCTGAGGCCGGTCCCGGCCGCCGCCGCGCTCTGCCCCCCGCCCCCTCCGCAGAGCGCGGCGGGGCGCAGGCGCCGGGGCTTCCCCGTCCGTGCCGGCGCTGCCGCGGGGCCGCGCTCCGCACGGCGGTCCCGGGAGGCGCGGCCGGGCCCGCACCTGGCCCCCGCACGGCTCCCGGAGCGCCCCCAGCCTCCGCTCACGGCGAGGGCGGGGGAGCGCGGACGGGGTCGGCACGGAGACCCCCGGGCCCGCCGGAGCTTCGCGGGACGGGGAGAGCCCGGCCCGAGGCCGCCTGCTTGTTCAAAAGTTGCTGTGTAAACGTGCGCCAGTTTCGCGGATGACAACTGCAGTAACGCCCCAACCCCCTAAATTCCGTTCCCTTCTCCCCCAGAATTTCCCAGTGTTTTCCGGTAAAGCAGCCTCCCTTCACACACACTCCTCCATCCCCTCCTTTTCATTTTCTCTTTCTCTTCGCAAACCAAAGAGTTGTTTATGTACACTCATCACTTCAAAAGTGCAATGACTGGGAGGGTTCTCCCGTGCAAAAAAAAAAAAAAAAAACTACATGCTTGATTAAACGCACCGTGAATAATCCGATCCCCTACATTAATCTGTGAACGACGGCACGGAGACAGAAGCGAGCAGAGGGCACATCAATCAAACCCAGACAAGCGAAAGGGGCACCGGGGACCGGGCGGAGGCTTTTTACCAGTTCAGCAAACTGTGGAGCTGGTAATCAGCTGAGCAACATGTCGAGAACCATGAATGCACCAGCCTCCCAGCACTTGCTACCAAATAATTAAATTAATTAGGACGACAATTAAATTAATCAAATAAATAGGTCTACAGAATGTCAAACATAGCAGATAACTAATACTTAATCACAAAAGAACGGCCGGTAACAAGACCGCATTTTTCTTTAATTTATCGCTGCTCCTGAGATTAAGAATTCATCAGGTCCATTGTAAATGCCTTGCTCTATAATCATTGATGTGTTTATGTGTAAATCAAAGCATAACACCCCTTGTTATAAGAAATATATTTGAAGTATAAGCAGAACTTTTCTAAATCTTTTCAATGTATATTGAAATATGATACTAGAGGATATTATCAAGGAGGTTTATATTTGAGTTTATAGCAGGCCTTTCTAATTTCAAGCTTCTTGCACATACCCTTAAACAAAACAAAGCAAAAAGCAGTCCAAGTATTGCTAAAAACTGCAGAAAATGTATTCTATATTCTCCATATAAGAGAAAACAGTACAGGAGATTTTATGGATCAGGAATGAAATCCTGGCCTTGTTGAAATCTGTGGGGATTCAGGGAGTGTTGCTACCTTGTATACCGAGTGATCTGGATTATGCCACAGACTTTTGCGCACATTTGGTCAAGTTAGTATTAAAGCTATTGCTGCTTGTTAAAGAAAATGTAAGACAGAGGTTTCTTCATGCTATTGGAACACATTTTTCCTTGACAGTTGGTCAGGTTGCTTAGTTTACCCAAAGTCTTGCTGAAGTTGCTGAGAGGATTTTTGAGATTTTGGCCTTTACTGGAAGGGCTAGAAAGGTAGTCTTAAAGAAGGGCTGACCAGTCTTTCAGCTGTTTTTCTACAAAACTATTGGCTGAGAATAAGGTCTGTAAAACCTTCATAATCTGTTTTCATCTTCTTTTGCCCTCTTTAAAAATAATAATAAAGATGAGATTATTGTAAAGTTATGGTAAATCTTAAAATTAAAAAAAAATATTTTAATGATTTGAGAAAAAAGTTTACATGTTGCTAAAACAAGTAATAATTTGTCAATCCTCTTATGTATAGTATAGAGTATGAATTAGGACAAATAATTTTTTTAAATTTGTTCTTTCCTTCTCAGTCCTATAGTTTCAGATTTAAATTGTTCATATTTATACTACAGAAATTGCATGCTGAAGAAAGGGAAGGATTGCCGATAGGCAGCTGAAGCACGTAGTCATAGATAAAAGTCAGCAACATGCTAGGTCCCACAGTGCGAATTTTCTGTGTTCTGTGTAGTTGTGGGACAGTTTTGCAGTGTACCTGCTGCAAGGTTAGTACAGAGTCACAGAATTCAGTATGTCTTGTTCTCCACAGAAAAAAACAAGCTGCATCCTCCAAAGAAGTCTGTATGCATTGTGCTTCTTGTACTACAAAACATAATTAGAACGTAGCTTATCTTGGTATCATTGTGTGTAAAAGTACAGGCAAGACTTTTTATTACACTGAGAAAAAGTCTGAGATGAAAGTTAATAGTAAATCTTACAGTGATTAATGACAACATGTCATTGCTGGAAAGGCATTCATAGCACAAAAGTTTATGCATCTGTTGTTACTTATAAAGCATAAGTAAAACTGAAAGAACAACTTCTTGAAGACTATCTGAAGTGACGAGCTGTTTTTACTTGGAACACGGTGCCTGTGATAAGTTTTCATTACTCTTAGGTGCTTTTATACTGTCACCATCCTTGCACATTATCTCACCTCTCTTAGGTATATATCTTGCAGTGGCATAAACAGCAGTGGTTCCATTGAAATCAAAGAAAACACTTCCAGTTTTACCAGTCAAGAATATGGCATTATAATTTCTCTTCTTGCGTAATCCATCCCTGTTTATAACATCAATCACTCAGGAAAAAAGGGTGGGAACATTCTCTGTGTTCATTGTGTTCTACTGTCATAGTGCTTGCAAGTGCCTGCTCTCACTTAAGAATTTGTTGCTTTTTTAATTTTTTTGTTTGCTTGTTTGGGGTTTTTTTTTGTTTCTTTTTGTTTTGTTTTGTTTTGTTTTTTGTATCAACATAGCCTTTTCAACCTACACTATTTCTGACCTTATTGCATAACCAAGTCTGAAAAACAGAGTTTTTAACCTTTCTTTTCTATGTGTTTTATAACATGTTCCTAGCTATGCTGCTGTGATAGATATAAGAGAGGTACTTCTCAACTGCACTCAAGTGCTAGCCTGGAACAATAACTGCTTTTGCATTTGAGGAGTCAGGAGAGGATATCTCTGCTTAATTTGGGAAAAAAAACTGGTAGGGATAGTTGCAGCATTCCTGAGAAAGGGGAGAATATGTCTATATTCTCTTCTAAGAAAAAAAAACCGAGAGTTTTCCTGTTTGGTGAACTTGCACTTGCTGTTATTCTGCAAAGGATTGTGTCTGCATATTGATAGACAGACTACAACCATCACTATTGTCTGCTGTAACTGAGTGGTGTCTATCAAATAATCCACTTTCCCAACTGCAAGAGAAAAAGATCTATGTAATTAATTTTGGAGACATAAATAATACTTGGTCTGCCAGGAGTTGTCCACACAGGGACATAATGGATTATGGGACCCTTATGGAGCAGGTAGTCCACAGCTTGATGTTATAAGTATCACATATGGAAGCTGCACATGGCCTTTAATCCCTGGGGGTGAGTTTGCCACTGAGATTCACCTCCCTCCCTTTGGAGCTCTGCACTGGTTAGGGCTCAAGAAGGTGATTTGTGTAGCTATTGGGAATTTGGCTGAGGCATTAGGCTTAGTATTGTCAAAAGGAGGTGTTAGAGCTGTGAACTTAGAGTGCTGCCCAGCTGGCAGCCGCCTTTGATTTTGCCAGTTCAAAGGAGCACAGCATTTTAGTTGAATCACTAAAGGGCACTGCAAAACTCAGATGTTAAGCATAAGGCAGAGAAGCAGCTTCCTTGTTAAATAGGGAAATACAGCAACTTTCCAGACAAGCTGCACTGCACTTTTAAACAAGCCTTTGCTTCTTTCCCTTTTCCTCTGGCTGTGAGAGACGAGTCTCACTACTCAGCTTTATTTTCTGGGAAGAGCACTGAGGTTCCCTCTCTGGTTAAGCCACATCCAGTAGGCTTCTGCTAGATTCCCTGTGCCTCTCTGCGAGGTGCTATACGCAAATACATGAGTTTGCATAATTGTGCCTAATTAGAATCTGTCCGTAGTGTGGCTCTAAGAGCTGTGTGGTTAATGCCAGTGCAGCTTTGTTCAGTGGAGCTTTCTGCTTATCTCTAGGACAGCAGGACTGCAAACCTCCCACATGCACTGCCTTTCTCCTGTGCATGGTTAGGGAGAGTTTCTTTTGGGGTAAAGAGAGTTTGTGATGTGGAAAGTAGAACTCAGTCTCATTGTCTCACACACTGATAAAATTGTTCACTGGAAATTTGAGGAAAGAAAAAATTAAAGAGGAACATTTCAGTAAGCAAAGCAGCATGAAAAAATAGAAGAGCTTGAGGTTAAACAAAAAGTTTAATCCGAAAGAGTTTTGATATTTATTTGAACTCTGAAATTATTTTAAAAGAATGGAATTGATTTTGAAATGGAACATACTTCCAATTGAGAAACCAAAAGGTTCCAGCTAAAGATCAATTTTTTGAACTCAAGATGCTTCAAACTTATTCTTTCAACGAGCCTGCCTTTGCAACCACACTGACATGGGCAAAAGCAATGCTGCACCAAGCAAGGCCTTGGGAGCTACGAGGATGTTACTCAACTTCGAAAGCCACAAGGCAGCAAATCCCAAAACAGGGCCTAGGAGTTCCAGGTCACACACCCCATCCCTGCAACTCCAGAAAAGGCTGTGGTTGTGACCCTTACTCAACTTAATGTCTGGCACAGTGATAGATATGCACCCAGGACTGGAGGAACCAGATGATTTCCTGAACACTTGTGGCTGGGCCAGGTGTAACAGAGAAGTTAATATTTCAGTATAGCACTGGTCAGCAGGCTACATTAAACCCGTAGGAGAACTGAAAGAGGCTAAAGGGTGACACAGAAGAGAAAGCAAGCATGGAAATGAAAGTGAGAGAAGAAAAATCCAATTTTGTCAGTGACATTTCTCTATTGCTGTAATGAAAACCTTATTTATATATGGATGCAGACTTTTGTGTGAGAACCATACGTGCACAGGACCCCAACCTTTTTTCACTTATGGTTACAGGGAAAGTGGGAATGGTGGCAGAGCAAGTCATTGGCTCTCATTAAGCCAAGGTTGTGGGGCTCAGCACAGGATAATATTCAGAATGGACACATTTCTTGATGGGCATGGTAGTACCAATAATCACTGAAGTAGTCAAGAAAGCTAACTAAAACCAGCTACAGCTACAATTAAAACCAAATCAAGTTCAAACATAGCTTTTCAGTGGCCACATTTTCCAAGAAAGCAATCTTTACTAGAATCTGCAGAAGCATGCCAAGCTATTCTTCACTAAGTCCTTTCTTACTCATGATCTGGAGCTGGTAGGAGGGCCTGAGCAATTACTATAGCCCATACAGTT